TGAATGGTTGAGTCGTCTGAGTAGAGAGTCACCCACTCAGAAAGAGGCGGGCGTCCAAGAAATCAGCTCCTCCATTTTTGTGGACAGATTTCAGATGATGGATGATATGCTCCTTGTCCATAACAATCCTCGCAAAAATTCTTTAACATACTCATATTTCACAAATACCTACACATATTTAATCCAACTTATTTTTCCAAGTGGGCATCTCCACTCCACATCTGAGCTGCGGTTTGCCGGCCTTATAGTAGTGATTTATTATCATCTCCAGCATGGCTTGCCATACCATACGTCTACATTGCACATTTACCATATTTAATTAGTCAACTTAGATTGAAAAGAACGAGACGACATTGATACGTCTCTAACAAATACCAAAAGTTATTTTCCCCAAATTCATAAAGAGAGAAGTTGAGAAGAAGAAATAAAAGTCAAAAAGAAAAACCTACCAAACAAAGCTGATATAATGATACAATTACAATGTCCAAGGTTTCTCTTTTCATAATTCCAACTAGTCGGCTCAACTACTTGTGTGGTTAGTAGCTAGGTGATTTCAAAAGGCGAGCATGATTCCGAACCACGGTTTTAAAACCGTAGTCATCTCTGTAATTAAAATTGTGCAGAAAATGTAATATGTCATTAATTATCAAAACCAATCAGCATGCGGTTTGAGGAAAACGCACCAGAACAATCATGTATAGACTTGTTGACATAATCTAAAAATTGTCCTCGAATGTCAATCTAAAATGAAGTTTCTTCATCATCACATTGTTTGTAAGACGGAGAGAGAGAAAAAAATGAACAAGATTTTGAAGTCTAAGAAATAACTACAATGTCTTAGGAATATGAATGAACGAAGTGTTAAAGCGAATGAGCCCGGAACATACAGCGACGACACGTACTCGCATGGGTTCGGCGCGCATACTTATAATACCGGCCAAAATTTCACCATATCCATTACGTACTCTCTCTGCCGGGTTCGGAAGAAAAAAACCGCCAACAAAAGATAATATCATTCGAATTTCCCCCCGACAAAATCGATCCGGATTCGATTGAATACGCACGGTACATAATGGGAAGTGGGTTGTTAGTTTGGGGGTGTGGGAGAGACTAGAGAGATCGAGTCTACGTGTTGGGCTCCAGCTTGCTTATGTAGTCACCATCCTTACAGTCTCCTTTCTTTCTTGTTGTGAATCGATCGGAGGAGAAGAAGAAGAAGGAAAAGTCCACTCTCTCTCTCTCTCTCTCTCTCTCTCTGCTTGCATGTGTTCAATATCACTCACATTGCCTGCCAAGGCCGACTCCATTGACCCGTGTTTTGTTGGCCACTTGCATTATAAGAATTATATCAGCACTGTCCCCCCAATTTCATGGGGAAGAAGACACTGAAAAAACGGGGGGTCGTTTTCATCTTGCTGTTCTGAGTCCAAGTGGGGGAATCATGATTTGATTGGGTGTGCTTTTACAATCGAGCCAAACCAAACCAAGCCAGGCCAGAGAGTGTTTGGTTTTTTTTGGTTCCAGAAATCATTTCTCAGAAAGACAATTTATGAAGATCCCTTTAAGCTCAAGTTTAGAGGTGGATGGAAAGTAAATTAGACCACAAAACTTAATTATAAAACATATCAGAACTTCAACACGCCACAGAATTCATAAAGCATACCGGCCACACAAGTTTCCTGGAGCAGGCAGACAAGAAACATCATAAAGCATACCACAAACTCCATGAAACGGACAAAAAAAAAATACATCATATAAAGCAGATCACCAGTTCCCTTAAACGTACTAGAATCTCGTAAAGTTGACCACAAGTTCCTTGAAGCATACCAGAAATACGTGCAATCACAAGTCGTTCACGACAGAGCTCTCACGAAGCAGACCAACAAGACGAGAAGCCATACCAGGCAGAAACGTCACGAAGCAAATCATACCCCCCCTAATTAACAAATTAGAATGTTGCTAGTTTTCTCTAGTAGCTAGTAAGCCTTGTTGGTAATAGGCATGCACGCGCCATTTTTAGGCTTCTGATCTGTTGTTATATATATGTAGCTATAGTACTGCATACTGCATAACTTAACTAACCGTTTGGAAATATACTGAAAGAGAAGAATAGAATAAAGCTAGCTCATTAGAGTCCTGGAGATTCACATGGAATGAAGAAAGCATCTTCTTTATTTGTTCGTCGCTGATATTTTAGACAGTCAACCGCACAGATGTAAAACTCATGCTAGAGCTAACTGATTAATCATTAATATTATGCCACGTGTAATACGTATGCCAGGTCCAGGGGATATGATTCTTCTGCTTTTCCCAGAGGCAAGAGAGCTCCAAAACGAGGCTAGCGGTCGTTTGGTAAGCATGTAATCTACCCACAGATTTTAAGATTACATGATATCTGAGATTTCATTGTTTTTCTTGTTTCATTTTTGGGCAGATATCAGAATATTTGAATTATATCCATTTCAAATGCTAGTATTTCAAATACCTTACATTTGAAATACGCTTATCCAAACGCACTCTTATTGATTTTTATTAGCATGGTGCTAACACATAAGATAATAACTCTAATATCTTTATTAATTATTGTTAGTATGATGTGAACATATAGGGTATTAACATTCTATTCGGTCTCTCTTCACGATAATTCGATCAAATTAATGTTAGTGCTTTGATATTTATTTAAAAAGATCAGGAGCTATGCGGCCCCTCCTTTTTCCTTAAAAACATTATTTAAAAGGATGAAAACTCACGACCATAATTAATGAAATCGCAACTTAGTATTAGTTGGGTAGTCTTTCTTAAAAAAAAATAATTAATTGGATATAGAATTATAATTTTTTTTGGTTTCATTATATACAATTATGAACGAACCTCGTTAAAAGATTTTTTTTTTAGGGCCGCAACCACATAACTCCAATTCACACACAACGTAATACGACCAACATCACAATCACAAGCTTTTATTTTGGTATTGGACTTATTTATGAAAAGAAAATACCCTTTTTACTATTCATGAAAATATGTCGGCTAAGGCCTAAGATATCATATGAGAACACTTGCTGCTTTGAAGTTCCCGCGGCCGGTGGTTCGACGATCAGCTGGTGCGGTCCTATGAGTCATCATTATTCATTAGTGGGGGTTTCCACTCGGCCGGCGGCAAACGTTTTCCCCGGGCAAAACAACGGGCTTTCTAAATTAATATTTTCTTATAACGGAAAGTTTCATTTTTCATAATTTCGTTCGGTTAGAGCCAAGTGCTTGTTACTCGTTTTGGTCGACATTATGTAGGTGCTAATTACATAGTAATTATCATGTGAATCTCATGGAATTTAACGTGGTTGGATAAGTTCACTACTATTTACCACCTTATCTTTGGGTGGTATATTTGATGATAAAAAAAAAAATCCTGCAATTTATATATCACGATGAATTCGTTTTTTCCTGTGTATATTTATTCGGAATTTGAGTTAAGAAGAAGGTGGTACAGAATGGTACCAGTAGGGGTGTGCAACGGGGCTGGTCTGTACCAGACCAAACCGAGGCTTGGACCAGATCATACCAAACCAAATATAATGTAGTCCTTGGTTCCATGTACTTTATAAATAATGAAGAAAAATGAACTGGATTCAGGTTTGAACCAGTTCAAACCGGATCGAATAAATCCGAGTGCGTTATTGATCTGGTTCTTTATCTTAAAATGTCTTTCCACTATTGGAAGCTGTTCTCATGAGTAATGAGTTCGGTCCGAACTGACCATTGCATAACGCTCAGTATCAGGATGGTAACATATAGTAATGGATTGCTTATAACCAATGAAATTGGAAGAACACACACCAAGACTAGGGATGGCAAAAATATCCGTAACCGTGGATATCCACCCGGATCCGGCCTAATTGGGTAGGGTAGAACCCGAACCCGAAGGACATTTAGTGGGTATGGGTAAAATCCGTACCCGAATATTGCGGGTAATGGGTGGGCATGGGTTTCTCACTATCCAACCCGAACCCGCCCGATTATACACATGCATATGTATTCTGTCTAGAAATAATCATTTTTTTCTCTAACATATTTTATATTTAGCATATAAATATAATATTTTCATGAAATTGTGTTGTTTTAATTAATTTTCTTCATTCTAGTGAATTATTGTCGTACTTTTCTTCTTACGTAATGTGAGAATACGTATGAATGTTAACATATTGGTTATAGTTATGAAGAAAAATCATTACCCATGGATAACCGCGGATACCCGAAACCCGAACGGGTATGGGCATGATTTTATTTTCTACCCGTTTCACATGTGGGTATGGGTATGGGTAAAACCCGAACTACTTGAGGTAGAGTAACAGATATGCACTATCCGTCCCCGACCCGGCCCATTGCCACTACCTATTTAGCCTTAGACATCTTCCTTCTATTGCCACAACTTAACTGCTTCATTCCATGGGATATTGTCAGTTGCAGTAATTGATTCGCGCATCATGTTCAGACTCTTGAAAACTCAACTTGAAGCACAAACATTCTGCTTCTCTATTCATAAAAAAAGTACCAAACTTCAACAACCCTTCTACGAGTTTGAAGTTGAGTGTTTTTTTTTTTTTACTTTTTACCCTAACACTGCCGAACTTAAAATTCAGATGACAAACCACACGTGAGTACTTGTTGTCTTAACATATTTGTTATTTGTATGCACAAATTGTGGCAAAAAAAAAAAAAAAACCTTACATCTTGAACTTCTCAATCTAGTACAATACTTTTGTCTTGCCAAAAAGTGACCTAAAAAAACTCGAATACTGAATGGAATAACTGTCTTCACGACACTGGACGACGGTACAAACACATTGATGAGTAGCTTTCTTTTAACTTGATTCTTCGAAACTATAAATAGCTGCCAAATTAACTCGTACCAATGATACAAACCGAACATGTAACCACCGTCCGTCCCGGAAAATTTTCATCTCAAAGAAAATAAATAAAATCCACGTAGACCCCCACACACTTCCCCAAATCTCGGCTATAAATACCCACCCGCCATTTCCCCCCACAACCACAATAAAAAATTCAACACTCTCTTCTTCACTCATTCCTCTTTCCCTTCTTACTATCACCACAACAATGCCTCCAGCTGAAGCTCTAAACCCCAACCCCAACAACACCATGAAGCCACTCAACGTCGAAACCAAACCACCCTCCAACGGCCACCTCGCCCCGCCGCCGGAGGACGCTCCGGCCACCACAAAATCCGCTCTCTACGCCTACAGAAAAATCATCCTCGTGGCTTCCATCGCCATTGGGCTCCAATTCGGGTGGGCCCTACAGCTCTCCTTGCTCACGCCTTACGTCCAGCTCCTCGGGATCCCCCACAAGTACGCCGCCCTCGTCTGGCTCTGTGGGCCCATCTCCGGCATGATCGTCCAGCCACTCGTCGGCTACTACAGCGACCGCTGCACCTCCCGCTTCGGCCGCCGCCGCCCCTTCATCGCCGGCGGCGCCGCCTTCATCCTCGTCGCCGTCTTCCTCATCGGCTTCGCCGCCGACATCGGACACGCCGCCGGCGACGACCTCTCCAAGCCGTCCAAGCCGCGGGCCATCTCCGTCTTCGTCGTCGGCTTCTGGATCCTCGACGTCGCCAACAACACCCTCATGGGCCCCTGCCGCGCCCTCCTCGCCGATCTGTCCGGGACCAGTCAGAAGAAGACGCGTGTCGCCAATTCGTTCTTCTCGTTCTCCCTCGCCGTCGGTAACGTTCTGGGCTACGCCGCCGGGAGCTACAGCGGCCTCTACAAGATCTTCCCCTTTACCAGGTAAGATAGTTAGTAAATACTCCGTTTAATTTTAAAATTCGACATCCTTATTACTGTCAACCAATTTTTTTTTTTTTTCATTCAATGACTCACATATTAAACACGTATATATTTTTTAAAGGTTGATGTACGTATTATTAAACATACCATTAGTTTAGAGATGAAATAAGATGTAGTAAAATACTCGTACGTAGTTTATACGTAGCTTACACGTGCGTATTTTACCTACAGGTCCCAAGCGTGCGACGTCTACTGCGCAAATTTGAAATCCTGCTTCTTGATCGCCATCACGCTCCTCCTCTTTTTCGCTTCCATCGCGATCTATTACGTCACCGAGCGGCCGATTTCAGCCGACGGGAAGTTCGTCGCCGGAACCGGCGACGGCGACGAGGAGGATGATGAAGTTGAGGAGAAGTCGGCGGCGGTGGCGCCGCCGCCGACGGCGTGCGGCGGGGTGCCGTTCTTCGGCGAATTGTTCGGCGCGATGGCGAACATGAAGAAGCCGATGATCGTGCTCCTGATGGTGACGGCGCTGAACTGGATCGGGTGGTTCCCGTTCTTCCTCTACGACACCGACTTCATGGGGCGGGAGGTGTACGGCGGGGTTTCGAACGGCGGGACGGCGGCGGAGCTGAGGATGTACGCGCGCGGGGTGCGCGTGGGGGCGCTGGGCCTGCTGCTGAACTCGGTCGTCCTCGGGTTCGCTTCGCTCGGGATCGAGACGTTCAGCCGGTGGGCCGGCGGGGCGAACCGGCTCTGGGGTTTCGTCAATTTTATTCTGGCCGGTTGTTTGGGGCTGACCGTGTTGGTCAGCAAGCTCGCCGATTCGAACCGGCAGTACGGCGTCGGCGGGGTCCTGCTGGGGCCGACCGCCGGGGTTCAGGCGGCGGCGCTGCTTCTGTTCGCGGTGTTGGGTATTCCTCTGGCGGTAAGTTTGTTTTTTTAATTTTCCGGATTCCGTGAAAAACGGGACCAAAAGTTTCTCGTGACTTTCAAATTTTATGCGCCTTTAAAACGACTAGCTTATAACCCGGCCCGTTGGCCGGAATGTTCATATTTTAATATTTATATTTATATTTTATGTTTAAGTCTATTAATTCGTTTAAGTTTATTGAAAATCATTCAATCGAGATGCTACATACAGAATGAATATATAGGTCGAACATTCAGTGAAATACCCTCCTCATTTAAGAATATACAAATGTATCATTAATCTCATTTTTATAATGATAATTGAGCCCCCATTAAAATGATATTGGTTAATAGATTGTCCAGAAATATATAATATAAAAGCTCGAATTCCCACACGATCCATAGATAGTTTGAAACTGAAATGAAACCTCACAATCCCACATAAATGGTTCAAAGCTCTTCTCTATGAATAACATGCCACTAATAAAAAAGAAATGGATTTATAAAAAAAAAAAACAGAAATGAAGAGTTGTTGATTCAAGTAAATCATATGCTAACAACTCAACTAAAAGGAGACCATCAAAACTTGAGAGCAAATGACAAAATTAAAGTCACATCCAATATACTAATAGACTCGATCAAAGTAATGAGACACAAAATTAGACACTCATTATCTAAAGGTTCCAGTAGTTTGAATAGTGAATTGACCTTAACTTTAGTAAATCAATCAATGATTCCTCCGTTTAACATAAACATAGATATGGTAGTTGCAACAACCATAACACCTAAAGATCCAATAGTTTCCACTCTCCGTTGTACAACCACCTTTTTATCCCCTCCATCTTCAATCTCTCGACGTATATGTTTTAAACCAAAATTCAATTTCTAATCTTCCTTCTGCAACTCCATTTATGCTACTTTGATGGACCTTCTCTCCATGAACCTGAATTTCTGTTTCAGTTGAGTTTCTTGTCAGATTGATCTCCAACTCCTCAACCCTCTTTCTTGTATTTGGCCAACTCATCTTCCTCGGGGCAGTTTTAATAAGCTCGTAAAATTAACACTCATCTTCAATTCCATCAATATGCTCTTCTCCTCTTCTCTGCCTTCACCTGATCCAGTTCACTACCATGCCCTTCAATACCCTCTCCATTTTCATTAATATCTTGATCATCTACCACTTCTCTCTCTTCAACTGCTCCGATTTTGCTTCTATGTATTTCAATACCCTCCTTGGTTCAATCCCTACCCTGACCAACTGCCTCTTCATTGGCTTCACTTGCTGCAAACTATTTTATACACCTTCCTCAAAGTCACAATCAACTAACCAATATCAATCCATGGCCTTAGATCAGTTTTAAACTCTCTATGAACATCTCAATACCACAAAGTCTAAATCTAAATATTCTTTCAGTTAATCATGAACTTGAGTTTATCAAAATCTAATCCACTCCTTCTAAGTTGGAATTCCCATCCCCCCAAACTCATTTTTGGTTCATTTGATCCACATAACCATGATATTATACCTCAACTAAAATAAATCAAAGCATTTTACGAAAAGAAACCGAACCATGAACTTTACCTGCTACCAAATCCAAACACAATTTCTTCCTCTCACCACTTCCCTTCGCAAACCCAATATCAACTTTTACTCCAAGTTCACACCACCAACTCCTTGTGTGTTGCGTGAAAGCTTAATTTTAGCAATCAGTATGCTTCAATTAGATTAATGGACACCAGCAAGCGCCAAAATTTCACCAGACGATGAGTTGTCTACACTTTGAGTTTTGTCATAAAACTGTTGGCCCGATATGTTTATCAGTTTGGAGGCCATATGATGAGCAATACCGAATCAGTTGCAGCGAAGTTACCGGTCACAGTAATGACAATGTGAAACATGTGTTAACAAACACGAATATGGGTACTTTTATGGATTGACATCCATATGATGGGATTGGACAATGAGATCGTCCTTAGTTAAGCGACACAAACCGTTAAAATTCTAAATTATTTGGGTGAGTTTGTATTTAGTGTTTTCAAAATCGTGGTATATGAGTTAGGTGATTAAAATATCTAAACCCAAACGAACCGACCCACGTACACCCCTAGGAAGAGTTTCAAAACTTAGTATTTAACCGGACAAAAATGTTCAGAGGACCAGTCCTCTATAGTTTGCACAAAGATATGATTGCTTCACTATAGTTCTGGAAATTAATGGTAATTTAAGGAGTGAGATAAATTCATAAAAGGCTAAATAACTCAATGCCATAGTGAAAATTTATAGCGAGTGTCATATGAGATTTGTGGGTAGCATAACAGTTGTGGTTATACACAAAATGCGTAGCGGGGAACCACACCTGGCACCAATTTCTACCACCTAGATTTTGGAATTAATTAAACTAATGACGGGCACAATTTGCTACTTTTTTCCTGTACAAACTGGAAACTTTTTCGTTTGATTAGTTCTAACTTCTAAATGCTAACTTAAAAGCTTAATAAAATCTTAAGAAAAAAAAGCTTGATAAAAGAAAGGTTCGATAGATAGGATGGGCCCAGATCAATGTTTGTTGGTCAATTAATATGTTGGGCTTTGTATGTGGGCAGTATAAAGGGTTTTAGGCATTTTTAGCAGTTAAGGGTCCAATTCCTACGGCATTTGGGCGGGAAGACAGAAAATAATGGAGAAAATTGGACTAAAATGCCCCTAACGGAAATTAAGGAGAGGGCTGGAATTTTTGAATGGTGAAAAGGAAGAAAAACTCCACCATTAATTATTCTATGGATGTCTTTCTTTTGGAGTCAACATTTTGGATAAAAGAACGTTTTGGTCGTGGTTTGGTGTAAATCCTGACGAGACGACACGTGGACTATATAGTTGGTTAAATGTTAATTAATCTGCAATTAAGATTCTAAGTGGATATTAATGTCTTTTTCCTTCATTATGTGCAGGTGGCTTTTAGCGTTCCTTTTGCTTTGACATCAATATTCTGCAATGAAGCTGGTGCGGGACAAGGTAATTAACTAAAAAGTTCTTGAAAATTATAGTTAATTACTTCAATGGTAGTAATTTATCGGCCTAATTCTTTTTGCCAAAGTAGTTAGCTAGGTATTTACCAATTATTGATCCAATCTGGCCCATGCCTTATATTATCTTCTTTTTATTGCCAGGACTTTCGATAGGAGTACTGAATCTTTCCATCGTTATCCCACAGGTAACATAACAAATACTTATATTATTTTATGACATTAAAAACTTTTTTCCCTACCTATTAAGGTTAAATTCTTCTTGCTATTTAATTCCTTGCCTAGTTTGAAAACAAAAGATGGAGACTATGGATAAACTAACAAAATTTAAACGAAAAATGATGCGTTGATTGCGCTATGATATGTGGGGTTCCTAATTAGTATGGGCCGACACCATTTCATCGTCGAATCATGTGCTTCGGCGACTCAAGTTGTGCAACTATACTAACAGGGGTTCCTGTTACTGTTAGTATGTGCTGCCGACCCCATTTCATCGCCGAATCACGTGAATCGACGACTCAAATTGTACAACTAAACGATGAAACGGTGTGAACCCATACTTATACTTAATTACTAGGGCGATGTAACAAAATTCAGCTGGATATTTAATGGTACGTGAAGTCGTTATCAATCAATCAATCCATTCATCAAACAGTACTTGACCTAAATGGACAAAAAAATATAATTAATGAATGTTGTCGGAAGGCGATCGAGTTGGCTAAGTTGTCCCACCACGACGGTTCACGAGCCCAGCTAGCTAACATGGTTCCAATTCCATTGAAGGATAAAAAATTGCAGAAAAATAAAAATTTGTTTTTATCACTCGATACAAAGCATGTTCCATTTCTGTTCTATTCCATCTTTGTTTGAACATTGTGCTGTTTGAAAGGGCAAAATGAAGACAAGATGTCAGCTTCTAGCCCACAAAACCACTTCATACACTCTACCTGTCACTCCTAATAACCTCATCAACTACTACAACTTTGTTAAGACAAGGTAGATCTAGGAATCTTAATTGATATATATATATATTTTTGGTAGAAAAATCTTAATAATTTATATGGTACCGAGATGGAACATTATCGATGAACAATCTTTCTCTCAAATTTTAATTAATATGATTTACCAAGAATTGCAAAATTATATACTGAAAAAGTCAGCAGTAAAAGTATTTTGTACTGAAATCGTAATATAACCGCAATTCAATCGTTTTATGCTGCTAAAATCGACTATCGACTTGAAATCCGATAAATAACTTTTTATGTTGGATTACGATTCAATTTTACAAACACTGCGATTTAGCCACCAAAAGGATCTGATGATGCTGGAAGTGTCAAAATCCCGTAATTTGTCAAAAAAAAAAAGTGTCAAATTCACGTGTTGTATTAAGTCAAAGTTAGATGCAAAAAGATGAAAGGGACGAGTTCTGATATGTGGGTCTTAGTAATAGCTGGTTTTTGTTTGCAAAGTCTTTATCTACCAGCTGGAATATACCAATTAATATGGTTGATAATAATTAACCCAAAAAGGGCCCGGGCCATAATTAAGTTGATTAGCTAAGAAAAGCATATTTCCACTCATACTAAGCACGAACACACAGTACACAATATTGTACAGGGTGATCATAGATTCATAGATTAATGGAAAAGCTGGATTTGGCTTTTAGGGCTCCATCATATTGCTGAGTTTGTAACCAATTATTACATATGTAAAAGTTTGTTTAATTAATAATAATTTGTTTTTATGGGGTTTGCATTTTGGACCATGCAGTTGGTGGTGTCGTTGCTGGCTGGACCGTGGGACGCTCTGTTCGGCGGGGGGAACTTGCCGGCGTTTGTGGTCGGAGCGATCGCGTCGGCCTGCAGCGGACTATTGGCCTTAACGATGCTCCCATCTCCGTCGCCCGAAGCCGTCGGAAAAGTCGCCGTCGGTGGCTTCCATTGATGACGAATTAGTCATCACAATTAGTTTACCTACCTCAGAATCAACACCTCGTTTTTCTGCTTTTTATATTACTTCTTTTTGATTTGTATAATTCCCCCGTTACATTACATCTGTCACAAGCCAGAAGTGGCCTTTCTGCCTTCGATCTCCCTTTCTTCCTTTCCCTACCACCTAAAGAGATCATAATTCTCCATGTGCATGCCCTTTTTTCTTTTTAGTAACCACATCCTTCCAACATGTGCGGGGAAGGGGGAAAAGTGGGCTAAAACGGCATCCTTAGTTGGTCGTTTCTCGTCTGTAGTTCGTCATCGTCGTGATCATCATCAGCGGGCCAAAGAATTGAGAATTGGGCCATAGAAAATCTATGGAATATATTGCTGTTTGCTGCACTATGTATTTTTTGTCGTCATGATTGGAAATTATATATAAGGAAGAAGTTGCACGTGAATGCATATGATGGGTTTGTGAAAGTTGTTCATGAATGTTGCGCGCGGTAAGAGTAGTTGTGGTTATTACATGCGTACGTACGGTCCATGGAGTAGTTTTGACCAATTATATACACAAACATATCATGCAATGTGGCTATATTCCCGTTTGTTACGAACGACGACGAGACTACTCCACGGAAAGTTCTAAACGCGCGCTTTCGGCCAATATCATTTCTTATTTTGCTATTCCGACCTCTTCGGCTTCCTAGCCCTTTACAACCCTAATCAACAGGGTAGGGATCAAAAGCAACACAACAAATGGCCATTATTATTGTAACTAATGGCAACCAATAATGAGGATCACAACACATTATGGCATAGCCTAGCTAGTATCACTCATGTGGCCAGTACCACTAATCGACATCAAACCCAAAAAATTTCCCTTCTCGATCGAGCTGTATCTTTTGGTTTTCATGTTATTAAAATTTTGAATGCATCTCTTGGTAATTTTGTCATTATATATATGATCTTTGGATATATGTGTCCAGTCATTAATAACCAATTCGTTTGAATAACCGAAGCGGTTGGGAGATGATACTTGCACACTCTCTGAAAATAATAGCTACTCAATGGGCTTCAAGTAATTTGCACAATCGTATCATACTTTGTGCTTAAATGAATAGTTAATATCAAGGGGTCATTATGTTTCCAACATGATATCCATCAAAAGACCAATACCACGCATATAGAGGTGACAACTTGGTTATCCATTGAAAAATTTAACTAATCTAATCCATTTCCAATTCATTTCATCCAAATCCAATTGGATTGGTGGATTGGTGGAATAGTATAGTATATTTCTTATTTTTTTACAATTTGATACCTAAAATTTAAAATTTTATGAAAAATAACATTGAAAATTTATATTTTGTTACCTAAAATAATTTATAATTACATTTTAGTACCTAAATATTTTAAAATTTTCAAATGGTCCAAGATTTAGATGTTACTTGGATCCACCAATCCAATCAACCAATCCAATCCACCAATCCGTGATTCCAATCAATTTGTCACCTCTAATACTAAAAATTTGTTTAACTTAAGAACTCTAATTACTAAAAGGGGACCCAAAATGAATTCTTTTTAACATTTCAAGAATGATACATTGTGTTGAAATCAATTTAGCAACCGACAATCAATGGCATCACATTAGCTAATAGCTAGAATAATAATTATCAAAGTGGGTCTCGATTACCAGCTAGACCATAGTCGCTGCCTGAGACCATCTCCATCCCAGAAATGATTTAACAATTTCTAAAATGGTCGCCGTAGCCACATCAGCAACTTTAGCAACTACACTATCTAGCAATTTCCAGTCATCTCCATGCCAGCCATTCTTTAGCAATTTCTATTGGTGGGACCTACAATATATCAACATCATTTATTATTTCCTTAATAATATTTTTGCATAGTTAATAATAGATAATGTATAATGTATTTGACAATATCTTGTTTATGAAAAATTAGAGTTTAGTAAATTGTATTCTAAATTAATAATTAATAAATTAATACTTATATATTATTGTGTATTTTTTCGTTTATTGGTGTTTCTTTCTAGTTTCATGAATGAATATTCAATTATAGCTATGAATCTCCTTTATCTTTCATATTTGGATGACAAACATGTGATACATAATTTATAATTAAAAATATATTTCATAATTAATTTTCTAATCATATTATTAATTTTGTATATGAATATTTTTCTATCTAATTAAACAACCAAAAAAATATAATGCACAATTATAGCATTTTTATAGGAAAAGATGAAAAAGAACATAAAGAAAATAAGAGTGAAGTGGGTCTCCACACATACATGTGGCATTGCTAAAAGATTTGCCAATTTAATAAGCTTGTCAATTTAGAAAGAACCTCTTCATTTCTAGTAATTGTCACACAAGTGCCACCTCACCCTCCACCTTATCTTAGCAATTGATAAACTTTAGCAATGGTATGGAGATGGTCTGAAGGTCAGAATCTCGCTCATTATTACATCTTTCCATTCATTGTGTTATCATGATGTCTTTCATATTGGCCTTCCAAAACTGAAAATTATGTTTTCTCCTCTAGGAGGATCCAATGCTCTCATTAACTTATTTTCAAACATAACTCAAGGGTATTACCAACCTCATCTATTCTATTATTGTCTCCCACGAAAATAAAAATGTTATAAGAAGCTGGCATATTGTAAGTTTGTAACATGTACTTGATTAAGCAATTCAATTTTCTAAACATATAAACTCAATATAGAACTATATATCTATGTTTCTTTTTGGTGCAGTATATATCTATATCATGTTATTTTCTTTTAGAAGTATACAGAGATAATTTAGAAGTAGACGAGAAAATAAGTCCCAAAAAACAAAACACTGTAAAAAATGTGGCAAAAATATTTTTTATTCGTTCTTCTGCAATAGGTAAGAACAAGACAGAGGATAATTACACCATAGGATTTATTCTAGAGAAATAAAAGGCAACTGTCCCTTCAACAATGGTAGCTGGCTAGACTTGCGACAAGTACTAATTAAGTACCCACTCCTAAATTATCATTAATTTGTTCTTTCTTACAAAACCCAAACGAACATATACTAACGCCTAATTAATTTCGCAGTTCTTCTTCTTGGAAATCATACGAGCTGGATAAGTACGGATGATGGTCATCCTCTTTTGGCTCACATTTGTAGAAACAATGTTTTAAGCATGTTTTAGCTCCTGCTAATTTGCAGGAATGCACAACACACTCATAATAACACTTGAAGAAATTGGGTTTAGCGTGGCAGGTAGCTGTTTGAGTCATCACCAACAACATCACAACAGCAATCGCCATGAACGACTTCCATGGTGTGATTGGCTTCATGATTGAGATCAATTTGCTTTGATTGATTGATGAACCCCTATATGCAATGTTCGATCACCTCTTTGTTTAGGTCATATGGTTTGATTATTAATCACATAGTCATGTGCTTTTATAGTGATAATTATCACACATATAAGTGTAAGAATCATATATAACAACTTTGTCCGTATTTTCCTTATTATCTTTAACTATTTTGATCAATTATATGATTTACATTCACATTAATTAGTTATTTGTTTGACCTCTTCTAACTACGAACTATTTAGATGGTTAAATCATGTTGATCGAAATTTAGCATACATATTCAACACGTATCCTAAATTTAGTGCTTTATTTCTAAATAATATACTAAATTTAGTCATCCCAACCTTTTTTTGCTTCATTTCATATATATTTTAGTGACTAAAATCAGGTTGATCATTAATTTATGATTAATTTAACTCACATATCCTAATTTATTATCATTTATGATTAATATTTTAAATATACTAATTCCAATTCTTTTAGTCTATGTTCATCTATATTTTAGATCTATGAATCGTCGATCCATCCTTTTCTGTTGGTACTACCTTTGATATATCATATCCAAGTCTAAACTATTGGATCTTGTATGACAATATGGTATTGCATAGGATCGTTTAACTTAACTGTCAGGCATACATGCTTTTTTAGCATCCCACTTTCTACCAGAAAGAAGAGTAAGAAATTAACAATGATAAATTCTTTTTTCTTCAACTCGAGAAATAAATTGCCGAGTAGAATTGAGTTTTGATCTAACTCGGGCTAAGCTTGTCAATAAAAGAATTGAGTTCGAGTTTGGTTCTTTACAGAAATCTCAGCTCGTGTTTGACTAGATCTTGACTCGAACTCGAGTCATTAATAAGCTTTCATGAATTATCACTTAGTTCGTGAATTCGGCTCGAGCTTATATATAATATTATTTATTTCATAAAATTTAACTTTTCATATAATGTTATTTAATAGTAAATGAATAGTGTCTTACAAATCTATGATGCATACTTTATCTTTTAAATTATAAATGATACATTTTTGTTCACATACTCATAATATTAAATATTATATGCATTGAGATATATATCATTTAACAAACCTATGAATTACCAACAAGTCACTCGTAATCTATAGATTGATTTTATCATAAGCCGCTAGTCGAGCTGGCTCGCACACTATGAGCCAACTCATGAGTTCAATAAGCCACCTAATTGAGTTGGCTCACGAGCCTTGTGAGCTAAACATGATATAGCTAAACCTATGCTTATTAGTAAGCTTGACTCAGAAAAAAACTTGTATAACATTCAAATCATTATTAAGTTAGATTCATTTATTAATGAGTCGAGTGTCAACCAATTTTTTTTCTCGAACCGAACATAGAGCCGCTTGTGAGCAGTTCCACGGATTTGTACTCCTCTCTTCTACAGATTCACTGTTACTTCATTGGGCCTGGGGGGAAGAGGGTTTCTTCCATAATAGATTTGGGCCCAGTCCCAAGGCCCACTTATTTTATTTAAAATATATAACGCAGTTACCGTTGCTCTTTCTAACAATCATATAGCAAAATTGCTTTCCGTAAGCCAAGTCCGCCGCTAGTTGTGCCTTCCAGGTGTTCGATAAATTGTCTAGCCCAATGTTTCCCCGATGTCGGCCAAAGTTTAGACTTGTAGGTGTCTTTCAGGGCCTAGAAGCTCGCTCATCCTTCAGTATATTTCCTTCGGCCCAAAGCACTGCTTTTCCTTTTCCAGGGAAATATCAACAGTCTTTCAGTTGATTTACGTAACACTAACTCTGTTTCAATGCCTCATGTGTGCCACCGGAGAAACTCTGTTTCAGGCTTCTCGGTACCATCTTTCCCGCTATTGGCAGCAAAGTTTTGGTCTTTTTTTATAATGATATGTGAAAATGTGATTGCCATTTTCTTACTTCTGCAGCTACGAATGTCAAGCAAATGGGTTGGCGTGGAAATGCATGATAATACCAGTGGCTACGAAGCACAGACCCTCCTCGTATGGAAATTTTATGTGCAGTGCGCGATGTGTAGTTATGCAGTTTTTATGGTATGTGCTTGCTTCTACTTTCAGTGTTTTGAAAAGCTGTAGAAAGGGGAAAAAGAAAGTAAAGATTATGGATGAACTGGGCAAATCATATTATAGTTCTTGCAATAGGCACAAAAGGTACTGATTGTCTGCAATTTAGATTCTTCTGGTGTGTGGCTGGTTCACTTTCTCGTTTTCTAGTGAGGAGCTGGTTGCTTTAATGATGGGCAAGGACCCGAATTCAATAATCATGGGGGAGGTTTGATCATGAAAGTACATAATGTTCACAGTTCAGGTTACCCCATATCAGATGTTATTAGATGTATCAGTAGGCAGATCTTTTATCTAATCTGTTGGATATTCTTACCATGACATTCAATTGAGTTCCCTTTTCTGCTTTATGTTAGGCCATTTATATAGCTTGGTACTTTGAAAGCCCAAGACAGCATGTCATGAAGAACTTGTAGCTGTTTAGACTTTAGATATATGAATGCTTGTAAGGTAGTACAATTTCAGCTTCCATTTACTTGTTGTATTTTTGGTAATGTCTTTTTCCTTTTGGTAGTATGTTCCTGCTTAAGAAACATGTGAACATGTATGCGAGTAAACTGACAGGGTGAGTTAACTGCTTATTTGTGGCAGGTGCAACTCTAGTACATGGAAATCTCAGACTCCAAGAGGTATACTGGCAATGAGACAGCAGCTATCTGAGGTGACCAAAGCCTTGCGCCTCCAAAAACAACCAGTTTCTTCATAATGCTTACATTTCCTCTTCTGCAAACGAGGTAAGATTGGTAGATAAAACAACCTACATATGTCTTGTTATGATGTGTAGATTGCTTGCATACCAAGTCAGAAAGAATCAATTTGCTTAGTGGTTGCTTTCAGTTTTTGCCATTAGAAGTGAGACTTAAAGACAGTGTTCATTAATACTATCTGTGGGCCTGCGATGGTCTGATCTAACATTACTAGGAGCATTGTATCCTTGGATGAACATGGAACATGAGGTCTTTATCATCCAACAAAGATCAATGTTGGTTCTCTTGGCGGGAATCAATGGTCACTCTCCTGTTTACTGATATCTTCAAGCTTAATCCTGATTGGATCCTGAGTATGTCTGACCCACTATTCTTCTAGCAGATTTTCCAACGCACAGTCCAATAGCTAGAAGTTCAGTTCCTTTTTCTCTTGGCCCCAGCTTGCAAACTCCTTTTGATAACATAGCCAGCCTTGTCTATTGGCATCTTCCGTACTTTGGCATTTGCATTATTGCTACTTATTAGCTGGCTAATTCGTTTGATTAGAAGGCACCATTTCTGTAGCCAAGATGACTATATAATCATTTTAGTACCTTTAGATCACATATCTTTTTACATAACAGACTAGTCCAAAGAGACAATGGAACATCTGGTTCAGAGTATAGCAAATCATTACAAATTATTCGTTGTCTAAAAAATAATCAATGAACTATATTTGCAAGAATCTACAAAACTTTTATGTACTCTAGCTAGTAGCTAGGGGGATCTTATTAGAGGTTCAGAAGATCTTGAGAAACTTGAAGATCTAAGTTCTGTGTTTCGACTAGTGATTGATCTCTTGCCATGGCAACTTCCCTTGTCAGAATCTGTCTCGGTTGCCTGTTTGATCTCCATTAGCATGGCTGTTACATCTTTCATGGTGGGTCGTTCACCTGGTGAAGGATTGACACAAAGTAGGGCCACGCCGAGTACCTGAAGCATTTCTTGCAGTTGGGTACCTGATCTAACAAGTAGTTGCTGGTCTAGCACTGTTGTGAACTCCCTTTTCCTCTCTCTCAGTTCTTTGTTAACCCAGGTCACAATATGGGCTCCTTCAGGAATTTGGCTATCTGTTGGCTGCTTCCCAGTTAGGATCTCCAGAAGCACCACTCCATAGCTGTAAACATCGCTCTTTGCTGTGATCCTCAAACTGTATCCATATTCTGCAAGATAATTTCATGTTTGATCAGCTTCTTTCCAAAATTTTGCTAATAATGCTCTGGGGAATTAGCAAACCTTTGCTTTTACTTACCAGGAGCAATGTATCCATAAGAACCTGCTACTGTGTTCGAGACTCTCGAATCACAATCTGCAGAATCAACAAGCTTTGCAAGTCCAAAATCTGCTATAAAAGCTTCGAAATCCTGTCCCACAAGGATATTGTTGGCCTTGACGTCACGGTGAACAATTGGCGGAGTGCAATCGTGGTGAAGATAAGCCAAACCATGAGCTGCACCCAAGATAATGTTATACCTTGCTTCCCACTCAAGAAACTCTTTCCTCTCATGAAGCAATCCAGCCAAGCTTCCATTGCTGATATAGTCAAACAGTAGCAGTCTGGTCTTCCCATTTTTACAGGACCCCAATAGTCTCACAATGTTCTTATGCCTGATAGATCCCAGTGCTTTAACCTCTGCAGAGAAGAAGTCTCTTTGTGTTGCAGCCTCTCCTTTCTTGATCGGCCACAGCTTTTTCACAGCTACCACCTGTTTCGTTGGTGTCTCCACACGGTAAACCATGCCTGAACCACCCTTTCCAACTACATTTGCATCCGAAAGCCTCGTGACAATATCAGTGACTGTGAAATTAACTTTCTGGAACGGGGTGAAATCCCAGTACTCGATCGAGTTCTCCTCTTCACTGTTATTCTTACATGAAGTTCCATTCACTTTGATGAACAGAATTACTGCTGTTACTATGAACAACAATGTGAGAGCTAAACCCAAGAGAGCACATATGATGAGGTTTCTGTTTCTGGTGATGAAGTTCGTGCCATGTTGATTCGGCCTTCTCATGTGGCACTTATCGGTGTTGTTGTTGTTTCTTCCTCCAATGCAGAGATCTTGGTTGCCAGAATATGCAGATGGAGGAAGATCTTGGAACAACTTGGTGTTGGGAAGAAACCCTGAGAACCTGTTGAATGATACATTCAAGGAAACAAGATTCTCTAGACTTGCTAGTGCATCAAGTGTCCCAGTGAGCTTGTTGTGAGAGAGATCTAAGTTGGAAAGCTTTGAGAGGTTGGAGAAAGTTTCTGGAACTGGACCTGATAGAGAATTCCAGCTCAAATTCAGAAGGATCTCTAGGTCTTCCAGCTGACCAATCTCAAGAGGGATTGGACCTGTGATTCTGTTGCTGCTCAAATCCAACAACTGAAGATCTCGGCATAGGCCAAGTGAGTGAGGAATTGTACCAGTAATATAGTTCCCACCCAATATCAGCTTGTTCAAGTTTGTAAGTTGGCCTATATTCTGAGGTATTCTCCCAGCTATCTGGTTGCTTGACAGGTCTAGAATGTTTAGATTGACGAGAAAGTCAACTGATGCAGGAATGTTGCCTTGAAGCTTGTTCCCATGCATGTCAACCATCTGTAGTTGAGTGCAGTTGCCAATTTCAGGAGGGATTTCTCCCGCAAAATTGTTGCGTGATAATTCAAGGAAGCTCAAGCTACTCAGAACGCCAATCTCTGGTGGGATTCTGCCAGTGAAATTGTTTGATCCGAGTCGTAATCGGATCAAACCAAGGCAATTGCCAATATCTGGCGGAATCTCACCTGAAAGCCCATTTGATATCAATAACAGCTGGCTCAAGTTCTTGAGGTGGAAGAGAGAATTTGGAACTGACCCAGTTAGGAGATTGTGTGATAGATCCAAGGCTTCAAGCTTTCTGCAGTTTGCTAGCTCTTCAGGTATTTCTCCTTGCAACTTGTTCTGCCAGGCGTAGAATAAAGACAGCTCACTCAATTCTCCAACGGTGGAGGGGACTTCCCCAGAGAACAAGTTGTTATCTAGCTCAAGCTGCTTTAAGCCAGAGAAATTGCCGATGAAGGGTGGGATTATTCCTGAAATCTCGTTCTCGGATAGAAGGAACTCTGATAAAGCTACCAAATTGGCAAACGATGAAGGGATTTCTCCTGTCAAGGAGTTAATAGAGAGATCAATCACTTCCAGACCTGAAAGATTCCCCAGAGCTTGTGGAATGCTGCCAGTGAGATTGTTCTGCCACAACAGCAGCCTCTTCAAGTTCTTCAACGAAGCCAATTCATAAGGTATCTCGCCAGAGAGTTTGTTCTGATACAGAAACAAGTTCTCTAATGCGGAGCAGTTGCTAATTTCAGCCGGAATCTCACCGGTGAGACTTGCTGTGTAGACTGAAAGCGTCTTGAGATTCTGCAGCTCACCCAAACTACCTGGAAGGCGCCCTGAAATCCCTGTATCTGCCAATCCCAGGAAGACCAAGCTTCTGCAGTTGGATAGCTGAAACGGGATTTCTCCTACTATCCCAGAGTTCCCACCAGCGCGGAACTTCTCCAAAGATGCCAACTTTCCAATCTCAACTGGGATCTTTCCAGAAAGCTTGTTGTCAAAGAGTTCAAGCTCTCTGAGGGATGAACAGTTCCCAATCTCAGCTGGTATTTGACCCTGCAGTGAGTTCGAGTTCAGTGACAGAAGCTGGAGTTGAGGCAGCTTTCCAACCTCCACTGGAATTCTCCCTGTCAAAGCATTGTAACTGAGGTCTAAGACGACGAGAGAGGAGAGATTAGCTATGGAGGTCGGGATTTCTCCAGTGAGGTTTGCTCTGGAAAGGACAAGGCTTGTGAGGTGGGTGAAAGAGAGGACTTGAATAGGGAAGCTAGTGGGAAGATCAATGGACGAGATTATGATTTCCGAGACAAACCCATCATTTGAACATCTGATGTAGTCCCATCTGCATGGGTTGACGTGGTTTTGATCCCATGAAGAGAACGAAATTGAAGTGGAAGAAGAAGAGTTGAAGGTTGATAGCCATGAGAGTAAGGAGAGCCCTTCTTGGTTCAAGGCAGTTATGGCAGTAGGGTAAAGAGAGAAGATGTTTAGGAACAAGAGGAAAGCTGTAATGAGTGTAGTGCCATTTCTTGACATCGTTTTTGGTAAGTGTACTGGCTTTTGCTCTCTTTTAGGCGCTCATCACTGTTTTGTTCTCTGAAATCTTTCTGAAACTTATAATGGATATGAATGCCCTTGCTTTTCAAGACCTGGTTTACTGATGAGCTTCTCTTTTCTGGAATGACCCTGAAATCCTAACAGTATTTTGGTTGCTTTTGTAGAGGAGAAGAGATTGGTTGGCGACAGGTTAGGTGCAAAATCCTGGTTAAGACAGGGTTTGATAAAAAGGGGAGCTGAACATCTCTCCATCTTTCCTTTTTCTCCCCTGCAAGTGACTTGACAAGTTTGTTCTGCTGCACTCTCTTTGCTTTTGCTGCCTTGGCATCGTTTTCGTGGGGCTTGGATTTTGTCGTTGTTATGTAATGATGTATGGTGTTGGGGTATCATCTGGGCAGAGTAGGGCACATTGGATTGAACTCTGCTGTAAAAAAATACAGGTAGTTTTGGCAAGTTATGAAGAAGATGCCACTGTAAATGTATGATGGCTAAGTTCCAAATAGAAGATCCTTTGGTTGTGAGAGTGACACTGGGATGTATACATCATTTTTTCAATATTATGATGTTGTTATCTGCTTTTTCCCGGATTGTATGATACTTCTGGCTTGAGATATTGAAATGAGTAAATGATACGCGCATCTGTCACACATTATGGATTTTGGGTATTAAGGTTTAATTTTACTTAAAATTTTATCTTATGACGATTATTAGATGAATTTGCGAAGGAAGTAAGTTTCAGAAATACTTAAACTACAAGAGAATTGTAAATGATTTTCTTGTAAAATTCACATATTCTATTGATCATTAGTATACAATAGGAGGTTGATATTATTTTGGATGATCGAAATGATGATAACGATGTTGGTTGTGTTGTACACATTCAAAATCGATGGTGTACCGTAGAGATGCCCAAAATATAAAAAGTGAATGTATGTATTTCTTAACATATATTTTGTTTGGGATGAAATTTGGGTTCTTCCTTCATTTGTTGGTTTCTATTTGTTAACCATTGTTTGAGGGCCATCACTTGTTATTGTTTATCAGTAAGGCAAAAGTGGTTCTGATACAATGATTGTTCATCTTTGTGAAGGGAAACGCACAACACAACAATCCGAATTGGAAAAGGACAGAAGAAACAACGACAACAATACAACACCACACCCAAATGGAGATGGACTCCACAACCCTTTTTCCTTTGATACATGTAGTTATGGTAACCTCTCAATATCATATGCTCTCATGAATTGGAAGAAAAAAGAAACCTTCTACATACTCATATTATTATTTATATACTTGTGTCTGAAATTTTTGTAAGACAAAAGCTTTAAAAGTTAAAACAAATGCCAACATCCCCCTTTGGAAGAAACCAATAAGCAAAGTCCTTCTCCATGCATGCACCTTGCCTTTTCCTTCATTTTCCAACTAAATACTATAGTAATTATCATGTTCACCAAGGAATGAACTTTAATTGCTTCTCACATAAGAAAGAAATTATGATCACTACTATGGGGTTGTTTTCTAGCTCTTATCTAAAGGATGAAATCATAAGGACATTAGTTGCAATTTGATAGAATTTTGGTTGAGCTTTCGTACGAATGATGAGATCAGAGTGAACCGACTCTCACGCAAAAGTGAGGCATGTGTGGAAGAAACTTGCTTAGTAATGAAACCTAGAAAGTCCCGCCTATAGATGATCAAGTAATTAAGATACGAAAGATTTATCCAATAGTCTAAAGAACAGAAATATGATGAGTGGCTATCTCTTCCAGGCGGGTATCTGCAACAAGAGGTTTAAATGATTTAAGGCCTTCTTCAGAGGCGATCTTCACGTATCGAAGGCTCCTGCTGATTGTCCACGTAGTAGTATGTAATTTCAATATATTTCCCGATCGTTCCTTACTACCAAATTTGCTACCCCTTGCATATCTCTATGAATCATACATGTAGGTAGACTCATTCCTGCAAAATAAAATTCGTTTTCTAATACTACAGAAACCGAGGATGCTAACCCGTCTCACGACATTCGTCAATCGAACTGTCCAAATGCTTAGCATATCCTCTTGAGGTGACAAAACACATCCCAGGATTCATTAATCTCTGAGAACTATTCATGCCCAGGCTTGAATCGAATGAATTGTTAAAAGCTCATTAGGCATTTCTTAACCTTTGAATCTTAATCATCCACAAACAATGACCAATTCTTCATGTATTATCAGGCATGGGGATGGCTCTTTTTTTCCTAGCCAAGGGCCACACACACATGTGGGAAAAGAGTATGGACGGCCTTCACTCTCCCAATCAAAGCTTTTCTATCTTATCCGTCACCCTCTGTTTTGGCTTGGCTTCCCCCGACCACAAAAGTGTTACATTTTGCGATTATCTTTCACCCCTTACATCTTATCTTTACTTCCCAATTGGTTAAACGTCAAGAAAAAGATCTTATATCAAAAGGAGTTGACATCACTGTCTGTTCCTCCTCCTCCGTTGGTAACAAGCTGCTAACTAGTAAGTTGGTTTTTGACATGAGATCAGAGTCCTCTGTAATCGAGAGGTTTTCTGCTTGGATTTCGATAACTCCATCTCTTAGGTTAAGCACATGGTGGTATAAGGACCTGTGCAAAAGTTCAAGTTCATATGAGTCGGTTTTCGTTTAATGGGGTGTGTTAATAAAATGGTATATTATCCGTGATTGAACTTCTTCCAACAACTCGATTTATTGAGACGAACTGATTCTTGGCAACGTGCACTGATATTTCCTTTTGATGTGGGATGGATGGCATCAAATCATATACCATGCACAACACTCCTCCGTGTAAATACCTACTTGTAAAGGGTTTAAAATGTTTTTTTTTAAACACGAACGGAGTGCTCATAGCTCACACCAAATGAGTACAATGAATCCAACTCTGCTACGTCCGGTCATGGGGATTCGAATACAAAATCTCTCGGTCAAAAAAGATTCTTATACCATATCATAAATCAGTTGATTTCAATAACTCAAGTTGTTGAAAGAGAATGAGAAATTGAATAGTCAAAATCTTATACCACCCACATACTGGACTCTGAAATGAAAGATGGAGAAAACAATAATTATGGAGGATAATTATCAATTAAGCATCTAAAAAAGCAACAACATGCATGACACCAAATCTTTGTAAGATCAATACGTGTGGCAAATAATGCAGGCTGCAACGAAATCAACAAGAGGTGATGCCCCCCCACGAACAAAATTTAATCAAAGAGAAATGTCAAAAAGGCTTAATTAATGGATTGAAAACAATACAAAACAAACACAGGGAAAAGGTAGAAATAGAAAACGAAATCTCATCCATCAGCTGGGGTCTGTCTCCTGTGATTTGAATGAAGAAAAACTACTTGATGAATTAATAATTGTCATGGAAAAAAAAAAAGGAAAAACACAGGACGAAACTATATGTGGGGGACACAAAAGACCAATATTAGAGGGAGCTAGAATTTTGCTTTGTGGAAGGTGGGAGCAGGCCATTCCCCCAACCATTGCTTGTGCCCTTAACTATCAAAGTTACGCCTTCCCGAGGAAATTGTTTGGGGGAATGGTCAGTGACCATTAAGAAGGGAGAACACAAGCAAGTCATTGCACATATATGAGCATTTGATGCGTGCAGGAATGGCAATGGACAGGTTTCATCATAGTATCTCGATATTCATATTCGTCTCGTGCAGCAGCGGCCGATCTAGTATAGGTTAGAGTAATGGACCAACATTTGAAAAGATGCGGAGAGGACTGGGCCGTAACCCGACTAGCACCGAAGCTAACACTAAAAATCGAAAATTTACAAGGCCTATACTAGCTCTGGATCCAGGGAAGAGCTGGGTCGTGGCGGCTCAGGGGTGGGCCCCTGGATCCGCCGCTGGTCCCGTGGTAACTTGGGGAATTTATCATTAGATGTGGGTCGGCACAGGTCGATTCATATGGGTATGTAATTTAAAAGAAAACTATTAAAATAATTCTTTTTTTTTTTTTGTTAAAACGCCAAGAAACAATCTTTAATATGATAAATGTAGGTTAATTCTTCGACAAATTGAGGTTCTCACATATTTACAGCTTTATTATAGCTAAAATATGAGGTAATAGAAGTAAAATTATATGTAATTTAGACAAAAATAGATCGAGAATGGGGTGGATCACGACAGATCAGGTCGAGAAGAGTACCCATGCCTACTATGTCCCGCCTACAATACAGGCCAAACAACTCAAGTTAAAATTCCCATCCCTAGATGGGGGCATAACTACACGCTATTAATCGTATTACTGTTATTTATGTATTTGCCATTAGATAATTAGGGTGAAGACAACTACATAGACTACCGTCAGCTGTCCGGGCAAATGCGGGGTGCCTCCGGAAACATCATAGTAGCGGTAAGTATCGAACTTGGGACCTCTCAGTCACTAATCCGCCTCCCTTACCACCAGGCTATGTGACATTTGGCAACCTATAGTTATTAGTTTTCCTCTGTATGCTTAACTTAGCGTAGAAGTAGAATAATTATTTATCGATTGATATCAGAGTGGTTGATCCACGATTCGATTACGTCCTGTGGGTGTTGCATGGAGTTGGTGGTGGACTGGTGGTGAAGAAACTTTGTGAGAACTCCTTGCAAGGGGAGAAACAGCCGCCGCCCAAAGGAGTTTCAAATAAAAAGTGCTTAAACTCTGAGATTTGGTGGGTGGAAATTTTCAAACCGCACCTCGAGGATTCTTGTGGGCTATATATATATCACTTTTGGGCCTCTTGGAATTAGACTCCGCCGTAACCTATGATGGGCCTTTGGGAGTTAGAGTTGACCATGACCTTTGGGCCCAGTCTAATTTAACAATAGTACAATACCCTCAACCGCAAATCAATCAACAATACAAGCCACAAAAACTGGAAAATGCGAAACTACTTATACCGTCCTTAGGCAACCTAGTTGATAGGAAAGTTTCACCGTTCCATAATTAATTATATGAATTATGAACAAGAGTTTGTCATAGTAGCAGTAGTGTAAAATGTCCCAAGTTCGAATTACTTAAATAGTATTTTAATTATAGAATAGTAAAAACTTATATCACTTTTATCCAAAAAAAAAATTAATAATTAAATATGAATTTTTGGATTTAGGTGAATGTCGAAAATTCAGATTTAAGGGTTGAGAATAGAAGGTTTTTTATAGTTTTCTTAATCGACACTTATCTTCTTCGTTCTAACTTGAATTGTTTTAAAAAAAATTGCACAGATGGAACGAGTTTGTTGTACTCTACAAAATGAGATCCATTTTCAATATTTTTTTAGAAGGAAAAAAATAATACCTCTCGTTACCAACTCCATACCATATAGTATCTCCTTCGTTTTAAAGTAGATTTTGAAAATATTTGCACAGAAACAACGAGCTCATTATGATCTATTGGATCTACAAATTTCTGAGGGGAAAAATACAAAACCAAATAACTATAATGTCTAGGGTAAATACTAATTAGTCAAACCTTTTTCCGCATTGTTAAATATTAGCCAAACATATTGAATTACAAATAAATAGCCAAACATTTTGTGACGCGTCAAAGTATAAGTTTTCGTCTGTATCGTAAATTATTTCTTAACGGTGCTCCACCTCAGCGTCCACGACCGAAATCAATAACTATAATGTCTATTTATTATTATGCTTTTAATTTTACATTTATGGTAAATGCTAATTATCAGCCAAACTTTTCCCACATTCTTAAATATTATCCAAACCTATCAAATAAAAAAAATTGATGGTATATTGATCGCCACGTGGGAAGCGACTCAACATCGTGTTACACTGATACTTAGTCAGCATTACTAACGGAACTGTTAACGGAAAGTTAACATTTGGCTAATTAATTGTATTTCGACAAATTTAGCTAATATTTAAAAATATAGAAAAAAAATTTAGCTAATAATTAGTATCTACACTAAATACTAAAACAAACATGCAATCCAATAAACCACAAATCTATCAAATGTTTGAATTGCTTCCCTTCATAATCTTTGATCTGGAGAAGCAGTGTTACTATGGTCTAAGGCCCATACCCTTGCACAAGTTCATTTATGTTTTATGAAATGGGTATAAAAGATCAAGGCCTAACCATACGAGAATATCCAAGATTCATTTTCGATATCATAGTGCATAGTCCATAGATCATGAATGTTTATTTTTTATAAGATCATTAATGTACTGGTGGAATTTGATCTCTAATTTCTTTAACGCGTTTGTTTTTACTAAACGCCAGAGTGAAATGTAATTCATAAATTTGTGCTATACAATAAATACTATGTGTTTCGAATGCAATCATATGCCGAATTCGATACTGATATAAAAAGACTGTGTGTTTCAACTTTCAATGCCCCATATATATTCTGGACCTTGTTCCCATGTGATAGGATAGTAGGATCATCCTCATATTCACCACTCAAAATATATGGCAAATCCAATTCCACGGGGAAAGGAACAAGATCATGTGGATAAAGGACAAGATAGGTTTTGCAATTTGCAACCCAGGGAGAATTTGGGGATGACAAATTAAAATATTTACTAATTATAGTTTATACTAAATTATACTTTTAGAAAATTGCATATTTCTATCAATTGCATCATTGAAAAATCACAAATTTATCTCTCCCTCCCTATCTATCATATCATTGGGAATTCTTACAAGAATAAAAAACAATTCAGATATGAGTTTTTAAAAGTACTACTACATAAAAACCACTACTATAAAATATTAATAATAAATACGATGAAATTAAGCATAAAATAAAATCTTGTTAGCCTAGTGTAATTATAATGAATTTATTCTGTTAATTTGTTGTGGTTAGTAGTAGATCAAACAAAAGCTTGTGAGTCTTGTAGTAGTAAAATTTCTAATTATGGTTGCCCACTTGCCATCCCCCTACATAACAAGAGCAATCATTTATTTGCATACCCAGCTCACCTAAAATTTGTACTATACTTATCACTATCCTTATAATAAAGTCGTTGAAAAAGATGTGTGACAGGATGATTTATTTTTGGTTTAATGCTTTTGAGCACACTTGTGGCTAAGTGAGGTGGGGCGGCTGCTAGCTCTAGTGTATAGCTAAGGACTAAAAATCATCTATTATACACGATAGGACAGAAACCTGTTTTAAGTGTTGAAGCCACGTAACTCGAGAGTCTTTCGTATCAAAGCGTCCAAAATAATTGCCAGACCAGAAGACTCCAAAAGGTTTGTAAGTCATCTGACAATCAAGTTGGGCAGTTGAAGTTTGTAGCGAGAATTATAGGATGTTAGAGAGAGAGGATATCAACCGTGTTAAATGAGCGAACCTCCTACATAGTTGTTGAATACATAAAGAATGTGAGAGAGAGTCTCAAAATTATGAGGATATATATCACTCTCACCCATTAAGTTGCCGCCTAATAAAACCGTTCAAATATTGAAGGCCAACCACTTCTTTTTGCTCATTATGATGATCACTGCAGTAAATTAATCCAACTTTAAGAGTAGTGGACAAGCTAATTAACCAGGAAAATTATTAAGAGAATGAAGAACGTGTATGAGCGTGGTATATTGATAAATATCTTTTTGCCAAGTTGATTGATTGATAAGATTTACAACTCCACCATGTTCCTTTTGCCGACTAGGGTTTTGTAATGTGTATCGAGAATTATAAATAAGGAAGTGTTTTCAAATTTTTTTTTTTAAATAGATTATGCAGATGTGATTGTCACTTACGATTATCAATTGGTAAGGGAAACGAGGTCTAAGAAAGTAATACTGGCTACATAAAGTTTGTGCATCGACGATCTAGTTGTTGTTCCCGCACCTCTCTTCTCTCACCTGGGATACATACATATGTTGGTTACATTCGACATATCTTTTGCTTTTTATCAAGGATGCACAACTTGTCCATCATAGATAGTGGGGTACATACATATATTGGTTACATGTACAAAAGTTATCATGTCCTTAACGAGCCGTCGCTTACTTCTTCGTCTTGTCGCCCACATGAACTTGAGAACTGACAAGCCACAAACATACATGTGTGTATGTTCAACAAGTTTCATGTATACACTATTAATGTAAAAGTCTGTTCAGTAGTTTCATATGAACAGTTTTAGTAAAACCTAAATATACACGTCAAAACAAGCTAGCTCCAAGATGTTCTAACTGCAAAAACATCTCTAATTTAGAACCTTTACTTAAAATGCCAAAACAAACCGGGCATAAGACTCGAAAGAATGACAGCGTTGTGCAAATTCTGCCACAGTATAATATATATTCATCAAGGCAAAACCCTTTATTATTTCCAATAATTATGTTTTTGACAAATGGAGTAATTAATTAAGATCAATATATTTCCATTTCGTGTGAGATAAAATAAAATAGTAAGCTGTAAGAACTTTCCAGTAACTGCTGTTGACTCAAAGATGAAATATCTATAAAAAGAAGGTCAAAAAATGAGAAAAGAATTTCAGATCTTTATATTAGTAATTTGTTGGAGGCTTAGCTAAGGAGTGGTGCGAAATGTCGAAACTGCCCTGGAACTGCTGCAGATCGTAACAACCCCAATTGTTGGCAATCCCGAAATCCCCTGCATCAAACCCCTGCTCCTGCGGCTGCGGCGTTTCCCATGCCGCCGTCGCCGGAACGGGATCGTTCCCCGCCGTCGACGACCACATAGCCGCCTCCAGTTGCGCCATCTCGTCGCTCAACAATGTCTGCAACCCAAGTGAATTAATCATGCTCTCGTGATGTTGATCATCTCCGCACCCCGGCGGCAGAGCCGCCGCCTCCAGAAACCCGTCTTCCCGGAAAAGATCGAAGAACTCGTACGATCCCGCCGCCGCCGCCGGCGGGAACAGAAACCCATCCTGCTCGGCGCTCATCACCATCCCGCAGCTCTCGGGAGTCGACGAGATCGAATTCGATTGCGAGTTCGAATTCGAATTCGACCCCCCATCAGCCAAACCCGGCTCCACCTTGGCCGCCGCCGCGACCCCCGCCGAATCGGGGTTCAAGAACTTGGCGAAAACGACGGCCATATCGATATCCGATCCCGCCGCCGCCGTCGACGAGGAAGACGAGTCGCCGCTGCAGCTGCCCTTGTGGGTTTCCGGCTCCGCCGCGGGAGTTGCGCGGAGGGCTGCGGAGCGGGAGGATTTTGAGGAGCGGCGGCTCTTGCGGCAGCCGCCGCCGACGGGGACGTTGCGGAGGGAGCCGCCTTTGGTCCAGTAGCGGCGGCAGCCCTTGCAGAAGTAACGGGGCTGGGAGAGGCTGTAGTTGTTGTAGTAGCAGAATTTGGTGTTGGCAGAGGCGCATCGCGGGCAATCGGGAGCGATCTCAAGGTGGGGCTTCCAGTTCCTGTCGATTCCCGGCGGCATGAATTGCTCGCCGGAAGCAGAGGCAGCCATCATTTTTTGAATGATTATAGGTACCCACCACCGAAAATCGATCAAAATTGAAGATCGAAGGTCGAAACAGAGTGAGAAGTTCAATTAGAGTATAGCAGGTGGATTCTTGAGAGAGAGTGAGTGAGAGACAGAGAGATAGGAAGGGGATGAACTGTGATTTTAAGGGGGGCGAGGAAGGAAGGGTGGAGGGTATGAAAACGTGGGCGGTTGCGAGCCGTGAGGGAGAAGAAATGGCCGACGGGGGGAGAGAAGAAGAGGGCTGCTACTGAGCTAAATATCTCTGGAAAATATCCTAAAATTAAAATGCAAGATTTTTAAATATATATTATCTCTTTAAAAGAACAAGTTACAAGTTACTGTTTCTTAGAGTCACATCAAAACACTGTCACTTGGTTTGCTTTTTTGCCTCTTGTTCTCCTTTCTGATTGGCCCTTCTTCTGAGTACTGACATCCATAGGTGGCTCTCTTTTGTAATTAACCATTAACCAAGGTTTTACTGAGGACGAAAAATGCACTGATGTTTCCTTTCTTTGCCAGATTTTAGCTGAGTCTTCGTTTGTAATCATTGCTTTCCTCTCTCTGGTCTCTATGCTTTTTGCCTGGGTTGCTTCGCCAGCGACTTCTCTTCTCTCTGCAACTCATCGGTTTTCGGAACTCCTCACCTTTCCCCTGGAAATGACAGGACTGCCGCTTCCTTATCTGTTCCTTTCCCCACAAAAGTCTTGTTTTGCTTTGGTACCTTTCATTTATGCTCCTCACAGACTTTCCCTCTTCTATCTTGCTTTCTTCTATTGCTCTTCCATGGTGACCCATAAATTGCTTCTTGACCTCAGCGACTCCGATGGCCCTCAGACTCTTCTGAAGCTGCGCCTCCTTAATGCGTGGGGTCTTATGGTCTGAAGAATCCTAAATTAATCTTCAACTACTGCACTCTTTGGAACGATGAGGAGGTTAGCGCTGCTTTTCTGTTTTTTTTTTTTTGCCATGCAGTTTTGCGCCTCCCTTTTGTTTGCAGCCCTCTGATGTTCGTGTATTTCCTGCCCAGGGTACTTTGATTCAGGGCACAGCTCCGTCGGAACTCACGCGCCATTTTGCTCCGCTTCTGCAGTTGGGTAGCGTTTACTTCGTTAGCAATTTCCGCGTCAAGCCACCGTCCCCTTCGTATCGTTCTTGCTCTCATAAGTTGACCATCGTCCTCTCTGCCGCTACACAGTTCGAAGACGTGACCCGTTCGTCGCCTTCATTCTGGCCGGATGCGTTTGAATTTACACCGTTCAGTTCGCTTCATTCCCGCATACGCTCATCGGTTTATCTAACAGGTCTTATTCTGTGTCCTTTACGTCTCTTGCTGTTCGTTTTATAGTGTACTCAATAACATCCTTTGCGTTCTTCTCTTGCTTGCGGCTCTGTCAGATGTCGTTGGCGCTGTTGTTAGCATCACAGGCGTTTCTAGCACCGTCACTTCATTCGGTACCACTGTGCGTAGTGATTTGGTGCTTCAGAATGAAAAGTATGTTACACATGCACACCACTTCTTTATCGACTATAATACACCTGTTACTAACTTTCGGTGTTTCGTTGCCCAGTCACATGTTTCTTGATATCAGCCTGTGGAGTGAGATAGCTCGGAATCTCAATGGTCAGGAACTGGCTGTCCTTGGTCGTTCTGGGCCAGTTATGCTAGCTGTTTCCTCACTTCGGGTCACTGGCGCTACGAAAGGTCTCCATATACCTTACCGCCGCAGGATTCTCCCTTTCATTTCCCTTCCTCTTTTCCTCATTAACTTTACCCCTTTTGTAGGAGGTTACTCTCTTACCAGTACTCCAGGCACACGTTGTGTTCTCAACCCTGTTTCTGAAATGGCTCACCTGGTCCAATCTGTGTATGCCTCTTCTTATCCTAATCATATTTTTTTTTCCCTCAGCATCGTCAGTTGTCTTTTTGTTCCTGCTAATTTGTTGCGTTCCTTGCTTTTGCTTTCGCTAGGTTCTTTGCCAGCACTAATACATGTCAATATTACCCTCCGAGGTTTGCAACTCCTAATGAGGCAGCGGCTTTTGAAGCTGAATGTACGAAGACTGTAGCACAGCTCCTTGCCTTGTGTTTTCCACCTGCTGCCGATGTATGTTCCTTCCCCTTTTGCTCTCCTGCTTACCTGCTTCTGTTCCTTTCACTTCATTTGTTTGTCCGTCTAATCGTTTCTTCCGTTTCCTTTTGTGTAGTCTACGCGTTACCATTGCTCTGGTCGGATCGTCTCGGTTGATTCTTCTATGCAGTGGTATTACTTGGGTTGTGCGCTTTGTTCCAAAGCAGCCATAGATTATGATGGTGTTGACAAATGGTGTGATGACCACCGTCGATTGGTGCCTCAACAAACACAGAACTTGTAATTCCTTTCTTCATTCTTGCCCCCATACCTTTTGCCTTTTCTCGTGTCCTTACATGCTCCTGTACGTGTTTTGTGCAGTTACAAGCTCCGGGTAACAGTTGATGACAACACTGGATCAGCAGCTTTTGTTCTGCTGGGTAGGGCCGCTGACCTTCTTGTGGGCTTGACTGCTAACGATCTCTCTACCAGGTTTCCTTACCAGCGCAATGTTTTACCACAAGAACTCCTGGCTCTTGAAGGGCGAGACTTTACTTTTGACGTCCAGCTTCCAAAACCGGAATATGGGTCTCGTGGCCCCCCAGAGTTCACGGTCCTTGCTGTCACTGAACAAGAACAACCAAATTCCTGCTCACCAGCTCTTGGTCGCCGGGCAAGAAATGCTATGTCCCATACACCACCTCCTAACAGGTATTTAAATGTCCTGACTTGTGTGGCACGTTTTCCTTTTGTCCATTACTAATCGCTGCTTTCCGTTGCAGTCCTCACAAGATGCCTCTTGCTTCTCCATATGTTGTTCCAACAATGCCGAGCGCTTCGGTAGACCATGGTCCTTCTGTTGCTTCACCGAGGTTATGCTTCCATTTTACATGCCCTCTTTTCCCTGATTGTTCTTTGTCTTGAACTCGGGTTTCTTCTTAAATTTGCAGTGGGAGTTCTCAGCTTGCATTTTCTACTCCTCCACGTCGCCCCTATAGCAGGTTGTTTCTAAAATTCACTTTGCTTTACAAAATTGACAGCGCTCCTTTGGACGCTGTCGTACTATTCCCAATGTGTTGACATTTCTTTCCCATGCGTTGTTTACCATCAATTTCCAGTAGCCGCATCGCTGCTGTATCTTCGCCCTCATCTGCTGCATTAGGAAGGTTGCCTGTTTGTTGTCTGCTTTACTAGCTTAGTTCTGCTTATACACGTTCTTAAGTCGTTTCCTGACATGTTTCTTTTAAACATCAGTTCCGTACCTTCTTCTCCCGAACTTAGTCGTACTGAGATTGTTTCTTATGCGCGGTCAGTTTCTTGCCTTTTCCTGTATTACCTCAATCGTTCGACTTTACGCCTGCTGATATTTGTCACTGTCTCTTGCACACCCGATTTTACTGTTTCGTAGGCCTAGAAGTGAGGAAGTGCCCCCAGAAACTGCACCACAGCGAACCCCACAGTACTTTCCCTACTGTTAACTTACTTACTAGCTTTTATTGTCTCTTCTTTCCTTGCTGAGCAGCTCTGTATCAGGGAACTTGCTGCGGACACTACAGATGCTAATGTGCAGAACAAGAACATCAGTTCAAAGAAAGCGAAGCCGAAGAAACCATCTGCTAAGAAGAAGTCTCTCTGCCCTTTATTACTTGCTATGTTTCTTGTACCAAATTTACCATATCCTACATTAGGTCTTCAGTTCCTATTTACCTTGCTTCTGCTTGCGTACTGGCAATTTACTTGGTTGTTGTGCAATCTCTTAAAAAAATGTGCCCTGCTCCCTACCCATTCCCCAGTGTTCTTTCGTTTTACCACTTACTTGGTTGTTAACTGTGCATACGCCACTATTGCCTCTTGGAATCCTTGTGTTTATCATAGTATCCTGCAGTGTACTTTGATTTACTGGCCTTACCTTCTACAACTTTGTTTTACTTTTGCAGGAAAACTGGTGCTGCAGGTGCTGCGCGTCGTCCTACAGTTACTCTTGAAGAAACCGATGTTCCGATAGCGTCCCTTCAGATCCCTGTTGGACATCCTTTGCCAACCGAATCGGCGAATCCTGTCTCTGGAAATCTTAATGCCCTCGGTGTCAATTTGCAGACAACAACAATTCAGCCTTTGTCACAGTATGTGTCGTCCTGATTATCTTCCTGCCAGTGTTGTCTGCTCCCTAAGATTCCAGTTTGCATGATTTTTGTGCCCTTTTAAAACTGATCAAAGATGGTTTCCAGCCTGCACAAAATACTTATTTTTGACGGGGAAGAACTGTAAACAATGCTTTTACATTTACCTTGGTCTTGTGCTTTTATACATGGTTCTATGTCGTTAACATAAAGTACAATAGCCGATGGATGGCCTTTTGTACCCCTTTCTTCGACCTTCGCTAACTTACACGTGTTTACAGTTTGCAAACGCACAATGTTACCTCTCAGTGCCATACTAATTATCTACGAATGTGTTACCTTTTTTTAAATACAGAACAAAATAAACAAATAGTTGTAGCTTTTGCTTACTTGGTCAGCTTCAAATCAATTGTTTTCCCACAGATTGAAGTAATAATCGTCTTCACTTTATGGAGATCCCTTGTGCAGTTTGTTCTTTGTTGTTAGGCATTGTCTTATTCTTGATTTACAAGTTGCTGCCGCATTGCATAGGAATGTGCATGTTTTCCCATATAGATGTGTTGTTAAAGACCTACTTCCTCTGTTTCCTTTTCTAGGCAACCTATGTCTATAAATCCTGCACCTGTACGGCGCCGTCGCTTGGTTGTTTATTCTGACGAAGACGAACCTGTTGTCCCTTTGGAACTGCAAGACTTGGATGT